TTATTATTATTATTATTATTATTATTATTATTATTACTATGATGATGTAAGTACAGTTGTTAAAAAAATGAAACACTGCTTTACCCTCTCCTGCAAACTTTTGCCCTTTGAACTCTGCTCATACAGCTTGATGACGAAGTAAATTCTTTTTCTCAACAGGGAAACTCGAGAAAGGGCTCCTAAGGCGTGTTCAAAGGATAGTCCTCCATTAAAAATATAAACATATATAGGCGATCAAAATCAAAACAAAGGTTCAATTTTTGATAGTGTATAAAATCTAGTCTTTTAAGTCTTTACTCTTTATCTTTCACGTGGGCAGTACTAAGTACTCTGAAAAGTAGGTAATGTTATAAAAATAACATTTTGGAGTTTCAGTAAGTGTTCACAGCACCAATGTGACCCCCCCCCCCTTTTAGAAAATTCTGATTATTCCCCCAACCACCAGGCAGATTTTTTTTTTTTGGGGGGGGGGATTTTTTATAGAGTTTAGGCCAGTGTTTACTTAAAATGGCCCCAACTTGATCATTATCACCCAAAAGAGACGGTACCTCTAATTTAAGATAAGAAAAAATCAAGCCATCGGCATGCTCAGCGCACTGCTGTTGCGAGGACTTTCAACGTCAGGCAGCAGTCAGCACAATGACTATCACTATCAGCCAACTGAGACGTTGTGAATTGGTCTATCCAAAACCGACCCAGAATTGGCCGTCCAAGGGTAACAATGCCCTTATCAAGAACTATTATTATCAGGACAGAGCGCCTGAGGAATCGTTTCTTTTACTCGTCAGCCGGGCATACTGTTTGTTGTTGACCGTGGGAAGTCAAGTTCGAAGTTATGGTGCCTACATACAGACTGCGTTTACAGCCAAACCACCGCCAGGCAAGGATACACTGGTCACAGCAACACCGCCGTTGGACCTAGAGCATTGGGACACCGTCACCTCCTTGAACAATTTTTAATTCCCAGCTGAACACCACGGTGGGGATATATAAAAGTGTACAGAAGACCAAATGAGCACAACCTGCCATTTCTTCAACAACACAATCAGTCCATGACATTCCAACAGGACAATGCACCCGCACATTGTGTACTCCACTCGAAATTAAATTCTTAACAGCCCAGAATAACGTTGCTGCAATGAATCAAAGGCCTGCCATTTCACCAGATTTTAACCCAGTTGAGCACCTGTGGGGATTAACTGCGTTGCTCGTGACGTGAATCCCAGTCCTAGAGCCATTTCACAGCTGCAGCAAGCCCTCCCTGATGCCTGAAACAAAATTTTAAAGGAAGGCTCGTGTGCTCTATGTGCAAAGAGATGCACTGATGTGCTGAATGCACACGGAGATCCCACGACGTTCTGATGCATGGCTTTTGGATTTTATTCCCTCTCGTTACATTTCAGTCATAAAAGAGATATTTTTGCTAAAATATACAATGTAATCTTTTCACCTTGCTTCATCTGTGAAATACTTCCTATTTCATTATTTTTCAACAGGAGAGACGAACTGATCGAACACTTATGATGGTACTTTTCTTTTTGATCGCCAGTATATTTATTATACTTTTATCATAGCAGAATTTATGCTTCAACCCCCCCCCCCCCTTTACTCCCATCTGCTGAACTCTACAGGCTGTCGTTGTCAAAGAGGTGTAGCCTATGATGGAGCACGGGACATTGCGATTGTATCATACTTTGCATTTGTACTAACCAATTTTAACTTGATGTTCTTCAAAAGTCCATATTATCCCAATTTCTCCCAAACCCTTTATACAATGTAATTCTATTTTGCTCGACATTGTGTCTGAGAAGTGTACAGAAAAAGTTTTCTTCTTGGATCCATCACCTTTTTTTCTACACAAACAATGCCATGAATACCCAGCGGGTCTTTTCGGTGTAAAAAAAATTAAGTGAATAATCGAAACGGAGTAAAATTTCTTACGTTCTGCTCTTGTCAAGCTGAGCTTTTTTCAAATAAAACTCGTTAATATTATTATCATGCCCTTATTGATTTTTCTTTGTTTTTTTCTGGTAGATCTGTGTTTGTCAAAACAGGAGAACGGGTATTATTAGAATTTGTTTTCAAATTGTTGAAAGTTTTGTTGACTTCTTCATTTTGAATGCCATTCCCTTTCTCTGTTGACCAGGAAATGCCAGACTCATATTCTCACCCTCCCTTCCTCGCTGATACCCCCTCCCCTCCTTATCTATCTGTTCTGTCTGCCATTGTCTGTCTATATGTCTATGTGACTGTGTGTGTCTAGTGTGTGTCTAGTGTGTGTGTGTGTGTGTGTGTGTGTGTGTGTGTGTGTGTGTGTGTGTGTG